CGCCACCGGGAGTGTCATGGCCTCTATGTGGCCATTCCACCAGGAGAGAGCTTGATCAGTGAATGTGCAGGCTGCAAACTTGACCTTGCACTCATCTGGACATCCGCAGATTTAAAAGACTGATTCTACTTTCTCGATCCATCGCTTCAAGGCTATTACGCCTCCCGTTCCGTTAAAGGTTCGAGGTTTGGTGTTGGTGAAATCCTTATAGGTGCAGGTTCGCATGGTTCCGTGGTTTGTCCCTTGATTTGTGCTCCCGGTTCCCTGTCTGATGCCGTCTCCGTTGTTTCCATTGCGAATCTGCGCAAGTGCTGCAGTGACCGTAGCGAACACTGCTGCTTGGAATGCAACTGAGTTTATCTCCGGCGGGGTTGGTGTTGCGTTGTTTCCATGGTGGGGTCTTTGAGGCATCTTTCTGTCACAGAATGGAAAGATGTTGAGTGCATACTGCTTTGCGGGCTTGAAATTTCGTAGACTAGGCGTATCGAGTGTGTATGTATGTAATTTCATGCATTAACATAAAACAAGGAAATAAAACACATACCAGATAACAACATCATGATAAAAACATAAAGTATTTTCATTAATACTAATTGTTTTGATACATGAAAATTTGCTAGAAGGCATACAGTACATGGAGAAAAATAAAGTCCGGCAGCATGACGACCCTATGAGTAGTGTGATCACTTAAACATAGAGTCGATGGTACATAAGGTAAAACAGGGAAATGGTAATCGTAACAAGAGCACATGAACAAGTTCTAGCCGCGGTGGGGTGGATCCGGTGGTGCTGATGATGAGGTGGAGGCGCCTTGAAATCTAGCCAGATGGCGCTCGGCGTCCTGCAGTCGGGATTCCATCGCTGCCTGACGCATCTGGTAGTCCCTGACTACCTCGTGCGTCATCCTCTCCGTCCGCTCCATTGCAGCTCTCATGGCCACTATTTGGCCAGCGGTTGCCTGCGCCTGCTCGCCCATATCGCGAGTCCTCCTCACTATCACCGGCAAGGCTCGATCGGCGGGTCTACCGTGACTCAGATCGTAAAAGTTCTGGTCCATACCAAACGGGGGCCGCACTCCCTGCTGGCGGCTCCATCTCCAGATGCCATGTGCCCATGGGGGCGTGGGTTCGTTGGGGCCCATTCGGTATGGGGGCACCCTGGCCTTGTAAGGAGGGTCGATGACCTCAGACCCTGTATCCGAGTCATCTGAGTCACTGCCCTCTGCCTCCTCCTCGTCCGAGTCGGCTAACGGCTCTGCCGGTCCTCCCACGGGTTCCTCTTCATGTCTGCCTTCGGGTTCCTCCTCGGGTTCCTCTTCGGGTTCTTCTTCTGGTTCTTCTTCGGGTTCTTCCTTGGGTTCTAGCCATCCCCCATTCCCCTGGGGAAATAGGGATTCCCAGGGTGATGAAATCCAGCCATGAAGTCTGCACGAGGGGTGTAAGACGTTTGTAAAAATTCTAATCACGTATGCATATTGTAATTCCAAAAATACTCATATAGTATTTTATTTATTTATGTTTGAATTCCTGGGAAGTTTTGAATAGGTGGTGAGTTTCTAGGTTAACTTCTCGCCATAATTACCCCCAAACACATGTCGGTCATATTTGAATAAATATGGTTGATCAGACTATACTTATCCCTAATATGATCACATAACTGCCCAGGTTTAATCACAGTGTTCCGTTTCCTCCAGAAGCTTTTATTAAATATTGCTAGGTTATTATTCTAATATGCGCATATCATGTATGGTTAGATATGCTAGTTCACTATAAACAATTCTCTGATACCAACCTGTCACACCCCCGAACCAGACGGCGGAAACGTCTGAGGGCTCGTGTGACTAACAATTGAAATATCATCACAATGAGTATACATGAAACATAACACATTCATCACCAAACATTACATATTACAGCTGTTATTGTTCACATCAAGTACATTATCATAGATTACATAATATCCAAAATAGTACGATAAGTGATGTTACACAAAATAAATCCATACACTTGAAAATCTTCCTGCTTAACGATTACCTGAGAATACAAGTTATTTTGAAAACGTTCAACATATATAATGTTGGTGAGTTCATAAGTATGTTTGAATAAAAGTCTTTGCATCTTTTGTAAACCCAGAAAATCTGATATTTTTTGTAAAATGTCTGAAAATTATGTGAAAATCGATTATAAATGCATGTGTGAATTTCATAGCAGTAACATATAGGAATACAGTTTAAAGTTCTTTGTATTGTAAGTAAGTGGTAATTGAATATTAGTATTTCCCCAGAAAATCCGATATTTTCTGATTTATAATAATGGCGTGGTTCTTGTATGATCAAATAAGTTGTTTTGTATTGACACGATCGAAGGGTTAATCTCCGAAATGTTAAAATGGTATTGGATCTCTATATGAGCCGTTATAACCATGCATGATAATGACTAGGTTGCCTGTCTTGGCATTTTTCCAAACGCCGGTATTTGCTCAAGGTTTTGTCGCCCTAGACTGGCCTAGTCTAGCTGTAGCGAACAGCTAAGGCGTGGGGGGTCACCCCGTATAGATCTATACACAAACTCCCGCTCTCCCTCCAGGAAACTCTGGTTATAACTACAGGCTACGATTGTACACTCAAAGGTGCCAACCGACAAGTCTCACTAGATTCTCAACCTTTCACGTTTGTTATGTTTTTCACCAAGTTTAATGTTTACGTGTATGTTGTATGTTTCACATCCAAAGGTACATATATAAGTATACGAAGTTCAATAATTATGTAAAGGTATAGTTACGACCTACTAAGCATGTGATTTTCAGTCCAAGCCCAATTAGCATGTAAATGGACCACTAAGGTCCAATAAACATGTAAGAGGGTAATTTAGGCCCAATAGGCATGTAAATGGACCACCAAGGCCCAATAAACATGTCACCCATAGCTCATGCCCAAATTAACACGTAAATGGGTCGCAAGGCCCAATAAACATGTCATGGAAAATATTAGGCTCAATATACACTTGAATGGGCCCTTAAGGCCCATTGGCCATGTAACGTGAATATTAGGCCCAATAAAATTGTTATCGATGTATTTCGTCCGTTTGTTATTATTTCGTTGTTTGTTTTAGCTCGAAGTTTACCAATTGATATAAAAAGTCCTCTTTTTGTAAAAACGACGTTCTTGGCCAATAAGCCTCAAATTTTCAACTAAGGCCCAAATTTTTGTAAAAATAACACTTTAGTCCATAATTTATAAAAATTTGTAATTTCGTCCCAAATGTTTAGAAATTTACGGATTTAGTCCAAAAATTCATATTTTGACATTTTTGGCCCAGTTTTGCAGAAAATTACATTTTCAGCTCCTTATTTGTAAAAATGACACTTTCGGCCCAATTTTTATAAAAGTTACATTTTTGGCCCAATTTAGAAATAAATGTTATTTTCACCCCTAAATTTGGTTTATTTACGTTTATGACTCAAACTTTGATCAAATGACATTTTTAACCCCAAACTTCTTTTTTTTTTGCAAATTTGGGCCCAAAACCGTGAGGCCCAAATATTAAGCCCAATAGGCTAAAATTTACACTTTTGGCCCTTTGAAAAGTAGGGTTATCATGAAAAATCATTTTTATACAAGTATGACCTGTTTGATCCTTATAAAACCGTAAATGTCACTTTTTGCCCTTATCTTTTGTTTTCTTGTCAATTATGACCCTTAACAAGATTTTTGCTTTAAAGTTTTATATCTTAAACATACAACCACTTTTAACTTGATAATATGATGTATAAGATGTCTTAGTTCATAGATCTTTACTTAATGTTGCTTAAGATGTCGAGATGTGTTAAGATCTAACACATTTTCACATAATAAACTAAGAAATCACAAAAGACATGCATAAAGCACATAGATCTACACATTTTACTTGTATTCTCCCCTAAAAATCATGTAAAAACCGAAAACAAGGGGGTATGAACTCACCTCTACTTTGATGTTTCGTTTTTGAAGAAGAAATGAAGAGATTTTTGGTCCTAGCAACACCTTGAAGTAGTTTTCGGACTTGGATGGTTTCTAGGGTGTTAGATCACGAAATGAAGCTTCATAAGAGAGTGTTCTTAGCTTAAGGATGAAATCAAAGACTTAAGTATGATAACAACTTACCAAAGAGTGATGATCTAGATGAGAACCTCTTGAAGACACACACCAAATCTCGAAATTTGTGTGGAAGAAGAGGGATATTCTTGAGAGTGTTAGAGAGTGTGTTTTGAAAATGTATGTGTGTGTTCTTGATCTTGCTCTCGGCCGTAAGTAGAAGAAGAGAGGGGGTGAGAAGAGTGTGCATGGATACATGAGACCTTTCTAGATGCATGTGGTGTATTAAACTTGGTTATCCTCTAAATAATAATGATGTGTCATAGTTTGATTAGTTTACCCTTCAGTGTGATTATTATTATTATCATTTTTTTACACTTGGGCCGAAATGGGGCAATTATGGGGAAGCTTGGGCCTTATCTTGGTCCTTGCTCGAAATTGTGAAGTCCATAAGGAAGGTTTTCGGCCCATTGGGCCCTTAAGTGTATTCACGGCCCAAATAGTATAAAAGAATGGGTTTTATGGTCCATTAGGGTTAATTGGAGTTGTTATGGCCCAATAAGGCCCATTTGGGTTAGAATGAATCATTCTAGGCCCAAATGGTCCAAAATGTTAAGTTTAATTAAAGTGGGTCCAATTAGAGCCCATTTAAGGGTCCTAAGCCCAAAATAGTCGAATTGGAAGCTTATTGGTCCATTAGGCCCAATAAGGAGATCCTAGTCCATAATAGACTTACACCAGGGTTCTAGGGTTTCAGATTCTTTGTTGAACATGAGAGGTGCATTAAATGAGTACGGAGTGATAGTTACTTAGAGTACATGTTTTACAATAGTTTATTGATTACACGAGAATAGAATTATCTATCTAAATTGCTAGTTGTGACAAAAGTTGACTTTTCAATTAATCCATACTGAAATACAATAGGAATTTAGAGTTGACTTTGTGATGCTTGTTCCGCCACCACCGTGTTCTGGTTGGGCTGTATAAAGAAATCAAAACATTGATAAAAGGGTATTTTAGTCTTTTGTCAAAAATATATTTATATATATAAGGAATGAACTTCGTTCCCTCAGTTTGGCCAACCAAACCTGCAATGGAATGGAATCTCAAATTCCAATTCCGTTGGAACTCACCCGAATCATATGCATAGCGTCATGTGATCTCAACACGGAGTTTCCTTGAACAAATGTTGGTGTTGGTGTTGGTGTACTGGAAGTCAACAAACTAGTGGTGGAATTCATGATGGAGGAAGAGGGGGGTCTTTCCATCTTGATGCCTCTAGTCATCCCACACATAACACCCATACCGCTTCCAGCTGGCAACATGCGTACACCTCGATCGGTTACCGAGTGGGACCCGGGAGGCAAACTCGACTGATTTGCGTTTCTTGGAGACAACATTTGATTGTACCGATAACGACCCCGCTCTAGGGATCCCGTATCTTCCTTCCCCTTACATACATTATAATAAATAAATCAGAATTTGAAACAAAAAACAAGTCATTATAAGAAAGTTATTTACAGAATTACCTGACAGCTGGATTAAGAGGGGAAGAAGCAGAGGGAAGATTAGTTCCATGAACGGAATTGGAAGAACTAGGAGCTGAAGGAGTGGGACTAGGACCAGATCCAGGAAGCATAGGTGGTCTAGTACTGTGATTCAGAACTGGTAACCCACTCGGACCTTGAAAACCAACCGGAACAACATCTGGGTTCGATGAGATTGGTTCGGATAGTTATAGAGGCCTATTTCGGTAATGGCGCATAATATGGTATTAAAAAAAGTTAAAAAAAAAAAAGAAGAAGTAAAAAGTACAATAGAGAACTGACGGGAGAACAGGCCCGCCATTAAGGTTATTTGGCATGACTTGAGAAAGAGCAAATGCATGAGAAGTATGAGGCTGTTGCAACTGTTTTGGATCCTGATTATCATTCTTTGCAGAAAAATGATTATATGAGTATAGTAGAATAACTCATAATAATAATAATTGCATAGCATAAAATAAGTTAGAAAGTTGTTGAGAGACTACCTGTGTCCTTCTGTAATGTTGTTTCAAGCATTCTTCAATGAGTATACAGTATACTAGCAGATTAAGAGGAGTAAATTCAAATCCTACAGAATAAACATTGTCCCTAAGTTAAATCAAACTACTATAACTTATCAATATATTCAACATGTGCAAATATATACAGTATACTAGCAGATCAAACAAGCTCTGTAGTTGCAAATCAAGAATATAACCTCTCTATTGGCATATCAAGCAAGCTCTACAATTGTTTATACATTATGGCATATTCTCAGGGGCTTTAATCCCACTTACCTTCCTATATAACCAACAACTATTAGCTCCAATATATATATATATATATATATATATATATATATAATCAAACACTGAGGTAATAAGTCGTGTGTAATGTAATTACTTTACTATATTGTATTTAAAAAAATAGGGATTTACATTTACTTACGAGTGCCCAAAATCGGAAGTAACGCCATATGAGGAAAAATTTGAGCCACATGAAGTTTAGGACCTGTATGTGGTAAATGATGCAGACAGCATAAGACAGTGAATGTATGTATTAATAAGTGAGGTTGTGAAATTAAGTCTCACCCCATATCCAATAATGAAGACTTCCAAAGGTGCTAACTGTTTCCAAATTCCACTCCATAATTAAAAGACAGGAAATTAGATGATAATACAATATGAATATGGGATATGTTGTTATTTATAGATATAGACTCACTCACCTAATTGCAAAGGTATTGTAATAGAAAAGGTGTGTCATCATCTCCATAAGTAAGAGGCTAAGGACCCAACGAAAACCATACCAAGCCACTTGTTTCAGTGTATAACGCTTCTGAGGTGTATCCAGCTGCTACAACAGGTCAGAAATCGGTCTAATACAAAGTTGCTTGAAGCCAATTAACAACTACATTGACATTAGGTAAAGTGGCACTCATTCCAACAATTTGAAGACCATAAGTGGGGTCACTATTCCCACTGCTTGACCCTGAACTTTCTCCTTTTGAAAACTCCACCCTGCCTTCACCAGCTCCATACCAGAAACATGTAATTTTATCTCCCATAATGATAAAAGAAGAAAATATGAGTTAATTTCTCAAACTCAAAACTAACTAACTGAAGATACGATCATCATCCCAACAAAGTAAACCTGCAAGAACAACAAATGAAACTTAATAGAGAAACTATAACCATAGTCAGTGGCCTCAAAGTATGATATCAGAGTCTGAAATTCATCAAACTGACACCAAAACATTGTTCTATTGGTAATGACTAATGACTAATGAGTTTGTAACCTGTCAAGTTCAATGCTTGCTAGAATTCAGATCATATTAGAGTAGATAAGTGACCATTTTGACATTTAAGTGAAGATAAAGTAAAGTTTTTTCTCTAATTTCCACCATCATACATTTTAGGAAGTTATGAAATTGACTTCACATCGTGAAAGTTGATAGCAATCAAATCAATTGAGAAGAATTGGAAGTTCCAACTGTGCCCTAACATTGTGGTTTTCTAATGATGTGATATGATATACAAGGTTCACGAATGTGGTGGTGTGTAAGAACTAAGACGAGTGAAAACGGAAACTTTACCGAATCATGAGTGTGGAGGAGTAGATGAGGAAGAATCAGGGTTTCCACGGCGGAGATCTGCAATTAGATCTCCTAATTCCTTACGAGAAGATTCTCTGCCGAACATGAAGCCATACCTAAGAAGGGGATGATTATGAAGAAAAACATCGGGAAAGATGGAAATGAGATGAAGCTCTTCACCATTTTCCGCACTCACAGATGGATCTTGTGTTGAATAATGCACTGGACTTAGTCCAATGTTTGGCAGATTACGGAAACGATGGGATAGAGTACCGACCAACAGAAATAACCCCTCCTCAATGTTGTTGAGGAATTAGATTATTGCAGAACATAACAAGATAACAAAAGCGAGGCCTGAAGAGGCTGGTACATCGTCGTCATGCGAGGCCTGGAGAGTCAGTGTGGGTTAGAGGTAGTTAAGGTGGGTATGAGGCGGGGTTTTAGGGTTTCTTTTGATCGATGAAGATTTTAGGAACTTCAAGTATGAAATTATCGATCTTTTACACACAATGCTTTTAGGTTTCTTTTGATTTAAGAGGATTTTACAACATACGAAGAAGAAGAAGGACGAGAGTAACAAGGCGGGGTTTTTTATTTTATGGATTTCATTCCCCCCTTGGCAAATAAAAAATTGGAGAACGCGCGTTCGTAAAGAAAAATATAAAGCGACAGTTTTAGACGACACACTTTTTTATGATAGGTGCCCTCCGTGTTTTTAATTTTTTTTCTTGCACACTATTTTTAGGGCACACATAAATGCGTGTCATCTATCCTTCAAATTTTGCAAAACTGACATTACTTTTTAGGGCACGCACAAATGTGCGTCCTCTATCAGCGAGTGTCATTGTTTGAGCGTCATTAAAGGGCTGTTTTCTAGTAGTGAGTTCTCTCTCATGGAAAACTCCTCTCCTCGCAACGAAGACAACATTATCACTCGGTTTGTAGAAGAGATATCCAAAAGATTTTTGCGGGTAGCCGATGAAAGTACACCGCTCACTACGAGTTTTGAAGTTTGTCATGAGTCTCTCGTCTTACGAAAGCCTCGCAACACCAAACCTTGATATGTGCCAATGAGGAAACCTTCCTTGTCTACATCTCATGAGGTGTTTTGGCAACCTTCTTAGTTGGGACTATATTAAGGATATGGGCGGCAGTCTCTAAGGCATACCCCCAAAATGAGATAGGTAACGAAGCTCGACTCATCATGGAACGAACCATGTCTAACAAGGTTCGATTGCGCCTCTCAGCCTCACCACTGAGCTAAGGTGTCCTCAGTAGCGTCAATTGTGAAACAATTCCACATTCCTTAAGATACTCGTGGAACTCGATACTAAGATGCTCACCACCCCTATCAGATCTGAGCATCTTTATCTTCCTGCCCAATTGATTCTCCACCTCTTGTTTAAACTCTTTGAACTTTTCAAAGGTTTCCAACTTGTGCTTGATTAAGTAGATATACCCATATCTGCTATAATCATCGGTGAACGTAACATAGAAGCGATTAGCATCCCTTATGGTGGATATGAAGGGCCCACACACATCGGTGTGTATGAGATCCAACAATCGCTCACCTCTTTCACAAGTACCAGTGAAAGGTGATTCAGTCATCTTAACAAACAAACAAGATTCACATGTGTCATCCGACTTTAGGTCAAACGACTCCAACACTCCATCCTTTTGGAGTTGGGCTATGCGCTTCTTATTGACATGTCCAAGGCGACAACGCCACAAGCATGCCTTGTCCAAACCATTGTACGAATCAATATGCAACACATTATTTCCAAAGTTATCTACAACCATCACAGTTTCATATATACCATTACAAGGCAATGCTTCAAAATAAAAAATACCATTATAGAAAGCATTAATAGAACCAATTTCATTATTGAATGAAAATTTAAAACCTTGTCTATACAAACCATGAAAGGAAATAATATTCCTCGTCATTTCTGATGAGTAGCAACAATCGTACAAATCTAATCCTAACCCACTACTAAGCACTAAAGAATAAACTACAATCTTGGTGACAGGTGAAACTCTCCTATTCCCCATGATTAAGTTCATCTTCCCATGATCCACATCCCTACTTCTTCTTAGCCCCTGCAAATCAGAACAAATGTGAAAACCACATCCTGTATCAAGGACCCAAGAACTAGCATGCGATGAGTTATTAGATTGAATAGTATAAATACCTGTGAAAGATGGCTTTATCTTCCCATCCTTGATGTCCTGCAAGTACTTCGGGCAGCTTCATTTCCAATGCCCTTTGTCGTGACAGTGGAAGCACTCTGCTTCCTTTTGATCGGATAATGGAGCAGCAGAACCACCTTTTCCTTTGGATCCATTTGAAGAAGATCCATCATGAGGCTTTCCCTTGTGATTATTAGAGGGAGCTTTCCTCTTCTTCCCCTTCCCATGTCCAATAGCCAGGACTGGGGCAGCAGCAGTAGGAGTGGTTGCGACAGCTTTTCCTTTCAACCCACTTTCAGCAGTTCTCAACAGACCTTGAAGTTTGCTCAAGGTGACTTCCTCCTTGTTCATATGATAAGTCATCTTGAACTGATCGTAACAAGGAGGCAAAGAGTGGAGAATGATATCAATCGCCAACTCTTCGTCAAAATTGACATTCAACTTGAGCAGACGATACACATACCTTTGCATTCTTTGCAAGTGGCTCGTGATGGACTCTCCATCTTTCAGCTTGGTCGTTATCAACGAGGAAACGATCTCATACCTTTCTTGACGTGCACTTTCATGGTACTTTTCCATCAAATCTTGGCACATCTCGTAAGGCCAATAGTCCTCGTAGAACCGCTGCAGCTCAGGAATCAGAGTGGCTACCATTATACACGACACCTTTGTCGCGTCCTTTTCGTGAGCCCTATACTCAGCTATTTCCTCAGCGGAAGCTTTAGTTTCGTCTATCTCTTTGCGCTTTTCATCGACCGCGTATTCTTTCTTCTCGTATCGGAGGGCCATGCGGATGTTGCGGACCCATTCATTGAAACTGAACCCATCGAAGGTGACCCTCCCACAAATGTTCATAAGCGAAAAGGAGCTGGAGGGGTTCGAGCTTGAAGCGCTGTTTGAGCCAGACATCTGAAAAAGAAAAGGAACAAAGTTTAGATTAGATAAGCAATCCTTAATATAACACCCAAATGAAATATTAAGGCTAGGACCCGAACACTATAATTCACAATTCAGAAGAGGGATGTCGTAATTCAATTGCAAATTATATAAAGGTAGGTAAATGACGATTTACCAATTTCCACCATGAAAAACGAAATGAACACTTAGGTTTCAAATGAAATGAAATTCTTAGATTCTTTTGAGATTTATTGAACTTTTCAATGGCATGTTTAATCTCGATTATGCCCTTCAAGTTTGTGACTGGGATAATGAGGATCACAAACAAGGTGTGAATAACCATGCAAAGTAGCTTGGTACTCTCGAGTCATTTACCACCTAATCAATGTGTCGGTTAACCATACACGCTCCATTGATCTATGATAATTCTCGAGCTACCCCCCGCCACCCTCGTTAGTCCAAGTTAGTGTGTCGGTTAACCACACACGCTCCATTAACGACTTTGACAAGGTGCAAAGTGCAATTTCATGGAATAGCATCATTTTCACATTTTTCCTAAACTAACTAAGATTGGGAATTTGTAAAAACATTTAGTTACTTTATAACGTTCATTATACTTATTAATGAGGAATTAATGTTCTATCCTACCCGTTCGGCTAACGACCCTCCACCAATCAAGGAAGCGGTGAGTGAGAGTGGACACCCATTCAACCGTCATTTTATAGGCAGTTTTCTTATACCCCCCTTATAGATCGACTTCGTGAATGAGGTCTACTAACAGTAAGACTGACTCA